GATGGGGATATCACATGTGAGATTTTTGGCAGCCTAGCTACACACAGGCCCCTGAACATCCAATGACAACCTCCAGGCTTTGTACGCATCACAGTTTCGGAGGCCTTAAAATGCCAGGATAGTAGAAACGCCCACCCAAATTACTCCTTTTTGGAAAGAAGACACTAAGGAATTTGATAAAAGCCATGGTGGGTATTTTTCAGATTTTTTTTGTCACAGGGTTTTGAAAAAGAAAAGAAAACATTTGTCATCTTTCTTCATTTTCCAAAAACTTGTGGCAACAAATGAGATCTGCAAAATACTCAACATGACCCTTAGCAAATACCTTGGAGTGTATTTTTTCCAAAAAGGGGTCATTTGGGTGTGTTTCTACTATTCTGGTATTGCAAGGCCAACATTAGCTTATGCCAAACATCACCCAATCCTCTAACCACTCGAACAACAAGCCTTTTCTGACACTTAGTTTACATGAATAAACTTTTTTCTTTGCTAGAAAATTACTTTGAACCCCCAAATATATATAAATTTTTTTTTTTTTTAAATCAAAGGCCCTAGGGAATAAAAATGGTGGGTGCATTTGTGTCACACAAAGCATAGCTGACCCTGGCTGGTAGGAGCTTGCAGACCTTGACGCCATCTGATGACACTAGTGGCAGTAATACATTGAAAAATTCTACATACCGACATGGTACTAATGGTACTGGCTGGGTGACAGGGTGATAAAAGGGTTAATAGGAGCGATCAAAGGGTTAAATGTGCTAATCTAATGTGCGCATGTAAAAATGTGCTCTTGCTCACCGTGCGGTTTTCTCTCCCTGGACTGAAAGGGGAGACAGCAAAGGGGGGGGGGGGGGGGCGCGCATGCAAGCTCACACCCGAAAAAATGGAGAGCAACGCAAGGGTACGTCACTTTGCCCAGAGCCGCTGCTACTCGCACATTGCTAGTGGGCAGGGGGCAAGTAGTTAAAATAAATAAAAAAATTTAAATAGACATTTTTTAACATCATTTTTCTTTTTTTGTACTATTTAAAAATAGTAACATTGTACTACTTTGGAGGGGTTATCAGGGATTTTTTTTTTTTTTTTTTACACTTTGTATTGCAGGAGCAAAAAGATTATTGCTCCTGTAATGCAATGCTTGCTTTGAACTGTCAGGCTTAAGTTCATGACAGTTCAAAATAATAGTGATCTGTGATTGGCTATAGCTAATCACATGGTACAGGGTGCTGTGATTGGCCCATGTACCATGTGAAAGCTGTGGGCCAATCACAGCTCACTAGGAACAGAAGCAAAGTTGTGATGAATCAGATTGATTCATCACAACTTTGCAATCATGTGATCGCATAGCGATCACTGGGTTCTGATTACTGGGATACGCATTGCGCTGTGTCCAGTGGACACAGCAGCCCGTGTTGATACAACCACAGCTACGTACACTGGTTACTGGTCCTGTGGCTGCCGCTTGTCCACAGTACATTGCGGGTGGGCGGTCTTTAAGTGGTTAATAAAACATTTATTGAATATTTAAAGCATCTTCACTTTACAGCAATTTTTAAAAGTGTCTGAAATGTTTGCACAGTAGTGTACATCTTAAAAAAAATTATCCTTTGTATTTGATGTCAGTTATGATTTTACTTTTGCAATGTAAAATGTTGCAGTTTGTTCAGCTGGAACGTTTCTTAATTTTGACATCAAATTTCGAGTTAGTTTTAGTCAAAGTCTTGACTAAAATGCCATTTTAGTCATCTGAATAGTTTTAGTCGTATTTTCTCTAGACTCCAGTACATTTTAGTTGACTAAAATCTCCAGTATCATAAAACAAGAATATGGCTTTTTGACAAACTAAAGTGCAACTTTAAAAAAAAAAAAAAAAAAAAAAAAAGGGAAAAAAAAAAAACTATTGGCTGTAATGCCATTACACATACTGTATTACCAGAATATAACATTAACACTTCTCTGTTTAACCACCCTAGTGTTCTGATTAGGTCAGTATTTCTGTGCTCAAACCGGTACATTGTTTTCAATGGAAATATGTTATTTTTTTAATTGTAGGCCTGTAATTCTTAGGAATAACTCACTGAAATTTGTCCGAACAAGAGTCTAGTAAACATCCCAGGTATGATAAAGTTTGAAACACGAAATCATGAATTATAATATAATAAAAGATCATAAAAAATAATAATAATAAATGTAATTAATAATGTAATCAAACCAAAAAAACACTGAAATTTGAAATACAGTGCCAAGTTCGCACATCACTGAGCTTAAATTCCCCACAAATCATCACTCAATTCTGAAAGTGGTTCTAAAAGGGACACTTTTTGGATGCCATGGATGTTTCTCAGTTACCAGGCAGAAAGAACGGTACAAATGCAGGCAGGGCACAGGACAATGTATGTGAAATGGTTTGATACAGTAATGTAATACTATCATATTTTAGTGTATGTCAAATTTTTACATTTTTTTAAATTTCCTGCTGGTTCTGTCCCCCGTACGTCCCAACACTCGCAGGGAACGGAACCTGGAAGACAGATGCTGGCATCGGCCGGAGGACATGGCCGGGGACGCTGCAGGGGAAACATCGTGGGAGTGCAGGACAAGGTAAGTTCTCGAGGGATCCCAGAGCAACGCTGCAGTGTAATCCCGAATGTAGGGTTACTTCTTCTGGTACTGAAACTTTGACAACTTTGTGTAAAAAAAAAAAAAAAAAAAAAAAAAAAAAAAAGTTTGTCATATTTCAGAAACTTGTGGAGAAAAAAATAAAATATTCCATGGACTCAATATGCCTCTGAGCAGATAGCTTAGGGTGTCTGCTTTCCGGAAAGGGGTCATTTGGGGGTGTTTGTACTGTCCTGGTATTTTAGCACATCAAGAAATGTGATGAGCAGTCAGAAAGGAAAAGCTGTGTAAATTCCATTATCTATACCATAGTTTTGTAGACGCTATAACTTTCACACAAAGCAATCAATATACACTTTTTGGGATTTTTTTTAACCAAAAACATGTAGCAGAATACATTTTGGCCTAACGTTATGACAAAATTTTAGTTTTTTTGGATATTTTTTATGACAGAAATGAGAAAACATTGTTTTTTTTTTTTCCCCAAACATTTTTTTCTCAAAACTTTGTTTATAGCACCAAAAATAAAAAGCGCACAGGTGATAAAATATCACCAAAATAAAGCTCTATTTGTGTGAGAAAAAGGACACAAATTTCATTTATATACCGTATTGCATGACCGCGCAATTGTCAGTTAAACTAGCGCAGCGCTGTATAGCAAAAAAAAGGCGTAAATTGCAATATCTATAACATTGTTTGTAGACGCTATAACTTTCACACAAAGCAATCAATATACACTTATTGGGATTTTTTTTTTTTACCAAAAACATGTAACAGAATACATTTTGGCCAAAATTTTATAACGAAGTTTGTGTTTACTATATATTTTTTATAGCCGAAAGTAAAAAAAAATTGTTTTTCTTCAAAACGTTCGGGTTTTTTTTTTTTTGTTTATAGCGCGAAAAGTTAAAAGTGCACAGGTGATCAAATACCACCAAAAGAAAGCTCTATTTGTGTGAAAAAAAGGGCGTAAATTTAATTTGGGTTCAGCATTGCATTACTGCGCAGTTATTAGCAAAAAAAGGCCTGGTCATTAAGGGAGGTAAATCCTCAGGAGGGCAAGTGGTTAAAGGCATAAATGAGGGGATGGAATTTATGGTAACGTAAACAAACCACAAATGCCTAGTGTAACTAAAGGCAAAACTTTTTTTTGCTTTGGCTAGAGTGGAGAGGGGATTAGGATGTCAGTTTTTACTGCTGTCTGTACCCGTTAAAGGAGATTCACCCTATTTGTCCTGTTTACCGTTACCGTTAAAAGTGAAAGTAAAAGAAAAACCCAAATTTTGGGTTGTCCCCAGAAAAGTAATGGAGGGGAAATCTTCCAATGGGAACACTAGTTCCAGCGACCCAGAGGTCCCCCAAAGAATTCCCTTAATTTTCAGGGGATTTCCCCTCACTTCCTGTTTGGCTATGGGACAGAAAGTCAAGGATAATCTCAGCAATCAAACAAATGGCGAAAAAAAAAAAATCTTGCAGGGATTTAAAGATCTTGCAATCCACTGTTTATTCATAGAATGAGAAGGAGCTAATTAGCTTGGAACATTTTCTGACTCAAACAAGTAATGAAGTGGGCCACTCGCAATTGCTTTCTGGCTATCCTCTGTAGGTACAGAAATCACACAAAGCGTAAAAAAAAAAATTAAAAGAAAAAAGAAGTGATACTAAAAGATTCACTTAAAAAAAAAAAAAAAAAAAAAAAAAAAAAAAAGAAGAAGAACAAACTTATCTGCTCTGTGCATGGTTTTGCACAGAGCAGCCCTGATTCTTCTCCTCAGGTCCACCTGCCAGAACTTCTAGCCCCTACCCCTGCTGAATACCCCAGAGTAAGCTGCTTGCTCTGGGGGCACTCATGCATTCTCGCTCCCTAGCTGCTTCTGTGTGTTCCAATTGCTGTGTCCTAGCCATTGAGGAGGAAGAGACCTGGGAGAGCTTAGGCTCCTTTCATGCACACCGCTGGATTGCGATCAGGCTCAGGTAAGTGGGGAGCTGCACACTGAAGGTTTTTTACCTTCCTGCATGCTTTGGCCTTTAGAACCACTTAAAGGCCTGCTGTGCATACTTATGTGCACAAATAAAGATTTCTGTTGATGGTGTGGTTGCTCCTCCTCAGAATGTCTGAACCAGGAAAAAGTTCAAGCCCAATGATACAATGGAATTTTTTCCTGCACTGCATGAGCTGTACTGCCAATCAGCAGAATTTAATGAACATTATCTGCACATCTTAATTACATGCTTGTTGTACCTACAAATTTCAACAGCTTCTCATTTTAAAAACACTTTTTTTTCAGCTTCTTCGAGTGTCATACACTATAGGGTCTACTTTTAATTAATCTACTGTTACATTAGAAGAAAATAGTATATAAGCTCACAGCACTACTTACCGGATCAGCCAAAATGACCACTTGCACTGTAGCTTTCCCTGGAGTGTCCAGGCTCACTAGAGGTGTCAGTATTTTTTGGTTCTCTTTTTTCATGATTTCCTCAATGCCTGCAAGCTGTTATTACAAACACAAACCAGTCACTAAGCAGACATGGTAGCTGTGGGATTAGATGCCAAAATGTGAATTTAAATACCTCAGCTCTCACAATAGTATGGACCAGAACAATTTTCACATTTGCACTCATAGGGGTGCTTACGGTGAACAGCTTTTATTTATTGATTTAAAACCTTTATCCTAAAAGGGGAAAAAAAAAAAAAAAGAAGAAAGAAGGTGCCCCCTGTGCTCCTCCATCTAGAATGGGGGAACTCTAATACAGGATGGTCTGTTACTGGCCAGATCACCAGAGGAAAAAGAAAAAAAAAAAAAAAAAAAAAAAAAAAAAAACAAACAACTAGTGTAGCCACTACACTTAAGGATTGGTAAGCTGCAATATACTGAATGTTTAGCTTTGGGTTTAAGCCTAGGTTTACACTGATGCAGTCGCGTTGAATCCATTTTTGCAGTGCAATTTCAGTAGCAGCTCCAGTGCGAGTTGGTACTAAAATCTCCCACAGCATGAAGTTTCCATTCAAGTCTGTGTAGCTACAAATTGCACGGTACTAAAAACTTGCATTGGACCTTTTTCAAATCGCATCGGATTCACACTGCATACATGTGAACAGCCTCCATAAAACTCTCACTTGTCATACGATTCCATGCTTTCTGGAACATAGAGTGAACCAAGGCCAATACCACTTTAATGTCATATGTAGATCAAGGGCCACAGTTGGATTAAAAGAGAAGTAGTAGGGCTTTTTTTTTTTTTTTTTAACCCTCATTTATACATACCTAGGTGGATGCAGCATCGGTCCTATGCTGCATCTGTTTCCTGCCAGCTCCAAATGTGAGAACTCATTGATCACACGACTGCTGGTTGCAGAGTTCTCATAGCTGCTCTGAGCAAAGAGCAGTGACTGTTAGTCACCGCTGTCTGCTCTGCCCCATGCTGTGCAGGGAAAGGGAGCAGCTGGCTCAGGCTCTCAGCAAAACGCTGAGAGCCTGAGCCAGATGGTGCTCCAGACTCTGGGGTGGATCCAGACTTTAATAGTCAGGATCTTTCCCTAACCTTGACCGACTGAGTGATGCCCACTATCAGTTGAAAACTGGTCACAGGAATGCAGAACAAACTGCACTTCTGTGATCCACAGGAGAAGTACAGCCAAAAGAGCTTTGGCTGTACTTCTCCTTTAAATAATAAATACAGTGCAGCAACACATTGTAACATTTTATTTTCAGGACACCAGCAGACATCTGCAGACTTTTTACACAGGACTGACTGCATTTTGACAGCTGCTCCTGCTGTGTAATAGAAAGTAAATCCTGGTTGTCATTTTGACAGCCAGTAACTACCAATATTAGAAGTTGGGGAGCAAAGCAGGATGTAAGAAACACATCCTAGAAACTTTGTTGAAGTTTAAGACTTCTCGTTCATTCAGTATTGTCAAATGGTTAAAATATGCGCTGCGTATTCCTGTGCAATTCAAACCACATGCAAAATACACTACATTTGCGATCTGCAGCTGGTGTCAATAAAACGTTAACGACACCCCAAACGCAAGTCGCGAAGACAGTGTTTGCTTGCACCAGATTGCATAGTACTTTTGTTTGTTCCTGTGCAATTCAGATGAGGGCATGGTTTGAACTGACCCTTAATGAAAAAACATGTATGTATGGTTATACCGTTTTTTTTTCAGTCCCTTGAATAATATACCTGACATGGTAGCCATTGAGTTTAGTCAGTCACAAAGAATATAAGCATGTCTCATACAGATAGATATAATTACACCTACCTCATTTTTTGGGCAAGCAAATGCAATTCTGCCAAATGCTTTCCCATGGTCCACCGGTCCTCCAATATCCCGCAACTCCAGCTTGCACTGCAAACCCAAACCAAATAAGAGAAATGGAGCACATCAGCATATACGGTTTTATTTATTCATAAAACTCTGAGTTTGGCATTAAACTGCCAACAGTTTACAGCTCTTATGATGTGATTAATGTTGCTGGGAAAAAAAAAAAAACCAGTTTACCATTTGAGGAAATCCATTTGAGTAGGTGCATTACTAACCATTTTCCTTCCTTCATACATCAAATGTGCAATACCAATCAGTTTTTTTATTTCAAATACTAAGCACAAGCAATGTAAATTGAGACAATACACTATTGTTGTATTTGAAAGGTCTTGTTTTTTTTATGGACCTTTTTTTGGTTTAATACAAACAGTTCCATAGGTGGATTTTTGTAGCCAAATTTTGCAAATTTTATATTTTCTACTATTCACCAGTTCACTGTTTTTAGTACCTATACCCATTTCAGATAAATGTCCCTCACACCATGTATACCACCACCAGTCGGAACCGTACATACAAGGTACCATTGGATGGCAAAGAGGATGGATGCTTTCATCATGTTTATACCAAATTCTGACCCTACCATCTGAATGTGAGCAGTGCCCCCAACCAGTCTGGGGCCCATTTGCGTGCTGACATCAACAAACCGTCCCACAACTGCGTCACTGATATTTTCTGTTTTTCGGCCCCGCCCCTGCTCTTTCCTCATTGTGTGTGATGAACAGCAGATAGCAGCCAATGGGCTCAGGTCACTGCCGTCTGGCACCCACCATGACGAGGAAAGTCACTTAAATCCCTTTTCTTTCCCATTCTGAGGCATCGAGAACTTAACATGATCAGAGGGGCCTCACCATATCTAAGTACCTAAATGCATTGAGTTGCTGCCATGTGATTGCTGCACACAGATTTTTTACCAAGCCTTGAATGGTGTACCTAATAAACTGGAGAGTGTAAAAACCTTGAGTATTTATACCCCTTGAAGTTTTTTTTTTTTTGTTATGTTACAACTAAAAATGTAAAGTATTTTTATTGGGGGTTTTAGTGTGTTCGGCCTTATTTAACACAAAGTGCCACATAATTGTGAAGTGGAAGGAAAATGATTTTCACATTTTTTTTACAAATTAAATATCTGAAAAAGTGAGGCACGCATTTGTATTCAGCCCCTGAGTCAATACTTTGTATCAGAAGCTTCTCAGCTGCAAGTGATTTGGCTTGGGGATGTCTCTATCAGCTTTGCACATAGAGAGTAAAAATTTTTTTTTCTAACACTTTGCAAAAAAGCTCCAGCTCTGTCAGATTGGGTGGCAAAATTGGAAAATTTCAATGGGTTTGAATATATTTTTCGAGTCTGACTGTGTAAACTGCCCAGTGAGGGTTACGAGTATTTTTGAATTAGGTTTGACCAATTATTAATTATATTATTTTAGTTATGGTGTGCACAATATATAAATATATTACTTTGCAGTATGTTGCTGGTTGAAATGTGTATTCCCCAACTGTGTGCGCGATCATGAGTTTTTTCTGTTTCAACAGTGTGCTCTGTCCGATTTTTCTGCATATTCTCCTTTTGTGTTGTAAAAGGGATGGACCACCACTTTCATTATTAGGTGCGAAATAACTTGCAAAGTCTTTAAGAAAATGTCCCCCACAGAATTACATGACACCAAAGATGACAGAACCATACACACAAGGAGGTGAATAGAACATTGCCATGGTGACTTCAAATTCGGGACCCTACCACTGAATGTCGCAGAAACCATTCTTGCCCATGATTCTCCTCTGACATACTGAAAACGTGTAAAAACACAACTCCAGGCTGACTAGAGGTGCATTTTCTGCTTTTTGGATTTCTCTTAGACCTAGAGAAGGTTGTGTATCCCGAAAATCCAGTAGATAGCAGTTTTCCTAAATGGTGCCACCTCCCTTCCCTGGCACCCCCATGCCTCTGTGGGGTCCCCCAGGGTCACTTGGACCCCTTCTCTTCTCCATCTACACCTCCTCGGTTTTGGCAAACTCATACACTCCCACGGCTTCAACTACCATCTCTATGCTGATGACACTCAAATTTACCTTCCACCCCTCACCTCATACCTCCATTTTGCTGCCCGCCCGCATCACTCACCTGTTAAACGCAATTCTCTGACCTAATAAAGTCGCTGGCGATTTGTCAAACAACCTCTTGAAAAAGTTCTTCTTCCCCCTTGCCCCCCCCCCCATTTTATTATGTTACTAACATCACCAAAATGTAAAGTAAAGTTATTGGGGTTTCTGGTCTTCCTCAACACTTCCAAGTGCCACATAATGTGAAATCACTGAAAACGACACAGGCTCCACAATTAAATATCTGCCAAAAGTGAGGCACGCATTTTATTCAGCCCCTGACACCGCTAAATACTTGTAGAACCGCCTTTAGCTGCAAGCCTTTTTTTGGGGATGTCTACTGCAAGCTTTGCTCACCGGCCTAGAGAGTGAAAATTTTCCCCGCTTCAGACCATCCTGAACTCAGCTGCCAGATTCATCCACCTCACCAGCCGCTCCACCTCTGCCACCCCCCTCTGCCTCTCCCTCCACTGGCTCCCTATCGCCCAACGTATCAAATTCAAACTAGTGACTCTGACCTAGTATTTTTCACAACACTGCCCCAATAAGGAACCTATATTATTTTAGCATGGTACCACCCTACCCTATAAATTATTATTTCACAGACCTCCTTGCTATCTTGCTCTGTGTATTCCTCCCACACTGCACGTGCGCGATCACTGAGTGAGGTCCTGTCATCCTGTGGAACTCTGTCCGATTTTTCAGACTGCACCTTCCCTCTAACTTTGTGTTGTAAAAGGGATGGAACCACCCCACTTTCACTTCTTGGGTGCGAAATAACTTCAAAGTACTTTACTCCAGTGAGGGCCCAGAAGACATGACAGCAAAAGTATGACAGAAAGACACACCCAGAGGTGAATCGAACATTGCCCTCTGGTGACTTCATCGGGAAGTGCCACACTGAATGTAGGAGCAGAATGAGCATGTCCCCCCCCTATGGTGTACAGCTGAGCAAACCTCCAGGATTGTTGACAGGAGGTGCACTTCTGCAAAGTAAGTAATGTAATGTAAAAGGAAGAGGGAGTGCAACACTGAAAAGAGATGAAGGAGATGGAGAAGACCCAACGTTGGTGTAAGACTGAATGAGTGAACGAACCCTCCATTTCTGCTGACAGGGAACAGGAGATGCTCTTAACATTTTCTACGATATGGGACTAATACAAGTCGATAACATTATTTACAGGAACCTGATCACTTTTACTCCAAAAAAGATAGAGTTATATATTTCCTTTAAAGTGTATACTTAGATTTTTTTTTTTGTATCTATATATTTATGAAAAAGTCCCCCCCCCCCCCCCCAAAGACACATGCACACTGTCGAAATTCCCAGCGTGGCGCTATATCAGGTTGGTAGAATTTTCAACTGATACTGGTGGTTGCCATTATAGGTACCCTAAAAACCTGTAAAAATCTAAATATCCAAAGTCATCCGGTACTTTATCTAACCCTCTCTATCTGTGTCAAAATGAGCAAAATTATACAGTTCCTTTAAAATGTGTTTATTATGGTTATAAAAATGATAAAAAAACATGTATTTAGAATATGGCAATAAAAATACTGATTGCTAAAACAAACAACAAACTATACTTTCGTTAATTAAACAAGCCCATAACAGAACAAAGCTTGTAATTGGTACATTAAAGTGAATTAATACAAATCTTTGCCAGTTTGAATAGATCTGGTATATGAACATATCCCACTGCAGATCATTGGTCTTAAAACAAAATATAGATTTTTCACTGCTTTGCTGTGTGTTCAGAGTTGTGTGCAGGGTAATAGGGCAGCCTCCTGCCTATTTAATGGCACTAAACAATAATTTGAAAACAGATATTACCTGGCTGTCACCATACCCCAGCAGTACACTATTTTTGCTCTCATCCTCATGATATATTTTCAGGCCCAGCAGATTATGCCAGTAAGCAGTTGACTTCTTTAAGTTGGATACGGCAAGGGTGACTTTTCTGAACAGGATCTGTAGAATAGATATCAGACTCCATAAACATACTCTACTCTAAATGAATTGTGCAATACATGTCGTTTTCCTTGCAGTATTTTCCCAGAATGACTGTTTTTCCTGCAATAGTGGTTGAATAAATATCTAGCAGAAGTTATTAGATATTAAAGATTTTTTAATAAAACAAAATATGTAATTCTTACCTGCTCTGTGTAATGGTTTTGAACAGAACAGCCTGGATCCTCCTCTTCTCAGGTCCCTTGTTGGAGCTAGTGGCTTCACCCCTTTACCAGTGCCCCTAATAGCAAGCCACTTGCTATGGGGGTACTGGTGCGTGCTCGTTCCCGAGCCCCATTCTATGCATCCATAAGACCCCGCTCCCTACTCTCTCCTCATTGGCTTACTGGCTGTGACTGACAGCAGTGGGAACCAATTGTTCCTGCTGCCGTGTCTCAACCAATGTGAGGAAAGAGACCTGGGACAGCTGAGGCTCCCATGCATATATCGCTAGATCGAAAGGGGGCTCAGGGAAGTATTATGGGGGACTGTGGGGGGGAGCAGCACACACAAGGTTGTTTTTACCCAAGGTAAAAAACCTTCAGCCTTTACAACCATTTTGGACTTAGTTCTGTATAGTCATACTACAACCACTTTAAAACTTCTCTTCTGTAGGGTCATACTACTCCAGTGTCCATTTCATCAGAATGCAGTCACCTTTTTGTGAGGCACTTTTTTTTGCATTTGTTTAAATTCCAAATCATATGTAAAGCATTTTTGGAGACGATGAGAGATTATCAAAACTAGAGCAGACAGAAATTTTGAGCAGTTGTGAAGAGCAATCAATCGGCTTCTATTTTCACCTTGTTCAGTTAAGAAAAAAAAAAAAAAAAACCACACACACACACACACAACAAATAGAAGCCGATTGGTTGTTATGCACAACTGCTCCAGATCCTGTCAGATTCCCCCTCCCCCCATATGTTATCCTATATATTACTAAGAATGAGATCACGTCACATCCTCTGCTGCTCTCGAAGACACTCACCAGGAAGTGCATACTTAGGAAGAACAACATGACATACTTCCCTCCCCAGAATATTCAGCCAATCAAGATGACAAGACACTCAAGTCCAGCAAATCCATACTGGGGAGAGGGACTCTCCACTAAGCAGGAAGAAAAGTAAACACAGTTATAACAGAAATAACAGCCTTAGAGAATAAGCAGGAAAGGGAGAAAACCTGGTCACAGATCGATCAAAACCAAGTTGGTTCAGCAGGGACCAGGCAAATTTTAATCCAGATGTGGCCACCTCCACGCGATGAAAGTTGATCTAACGTTGATCTAAAGTTAATCTCCTAGATTGTAAGCTTGAAAGAGCAGGGCCCTTGAACCCCTCATGTTTTGTTACTGTATGTCTCATGTTCTGTCCCCCACTATAATGTACAGCGCTGAGCAAACCTTTTAGCGCTAAATACTGTATAATAATAACAACAACAACTTCTGTCAATCGGGTTTGTTGGAAAAGGTTTCTTGATCAGCCGGCTGTAACTGCTGATCAGTGTATACTGACAGTGGAGAGTCCCTGCTGTCTGAATACAACAGCATGGCAAGAAGGATTCCTCCATGCACCTTCCTTGCATAGATGGATGAATCTATTCATCTTTATTCAATCTGTCTCCTAACTGACTGAAAAAACAAAAAAACTATGCATCTATAGACAGAATTTGGCTCACTATACACATTGCTTCTACAATCCACTATAGATCTACCAACCTTATGTAATATGAGGGCCTATCTATTCTATCCAATCAGGCAGGCTCTTGCTCTACAAACTTGCTGGCAGACCTAGATGAGATTGTACGATCAGATTGTAATGTGTGTGGTGAACTTTAGAGAAAGGTCAAAGATATAAACACTAGGGATTAAACTACTCTGTGCTGACACTGACTGGTGGATGTGTTTTTGGTGAGGGCACTTAACGAGAAAGCTATATTGCCGAACACCAGAGGTCAAACTGACCTATTTTGTAGACTCCAGCTGGCAGATGTCTTACTGGAAGGAACAAAGCTAATGACAGCACATTTTTCTATTTCTGTTCCTGCTGTCTTCATCTCTCCCTGATTTCTCCCCTCCATACTTGGCTTCCTCCACTGCTTGTTTTAATTATTCCTTTTGCTGCTGGTGCTTTGACAGTTTCTCCTTTGCTTTGATCTCATACTCCCCCCTCCCCCGTTTTCTGTTTCCATGCCTCTCTACAAGGGAATTTTATAATTAACAAAGAAAAATTTGTCCATAAACTTCATAATCCTTACATTTCCCACTGAAAAATTGGGCTCATATTTCCTAATGCTTGTGCAGTCATTAATTGAATCCACATAGGTCTGAGAATGTCTATCAAAAGTCTGCACTGTAGTTTTGGCAATCAGATGCACATTTTCTTGTGGTAACCCTCACTTGCTCCATAACTATGCATGAAAGTGCCTGCACACTAGAACAGAAATGATCCACTATGCAGAAGACATTTGGAACGCTTAACAAATGTGCAGAATTGCACACACCAGCAGCAAAAACATCAGGACAACATGGCAGATTCCCGTATGAACTTCATGAGGCATGAAGGAGAGTGAAAGCATTAGCTCAAAATGTTTACTTGCAAGTCCTTACAGCCGTCTACCTTGCTGCAGAAAATGTTTAACTTTTATTTAGGGCAAGTTCACACCAGATGCAGTCCAGCGCGTTTTTTTTCTGCATTAAAAATGCATGCAGTTTTTCCATGTATTCCAATGGCCCTAGTTCACACCAGTGCAGTCAGTTCCAGTCAATTTCCGATGAAAAAAAAAAAAAAAAAAAAAAAAAAAAAAAAGTAGAACATGCTGCATTTTTTCTGGAACATAGCATACTGCATCAAAACTGCATCGGAACAGAGTGTGGTGTGAACTGTAAGCCAAAACGTATCCGGAATGCATCCGAAGTGTGTTTTTTGTGGTGTGAACTGGCCCTAATCTCTCATCAAGTCAAGTGAAAAAGGAACTTTGTACTATTCTGACTGGAGGCCCCAATGACCACATTCTCCAGCCCAATTTATGGGCATTTCTGTAGTAGTAAGTACAGCCAGCACTGAGCCCGATGCCTTCTCAAAGCCAAGTCTTTTGCTCTTATGAATAAGCAATCAGTGCGGCTTATTTATTCCGAATAGCAAAAGATCACCAGCCTGTAGCACTGCATGACCTATTTGCATCTGCTGTGTGATCTTTTTTATGCCAGAATAATCAGCACCATTGGGACCGGTGTCATGTTTGACAGCCCCGAAATGGCAGAATGGATTGGCATAGGATCAAGTGCTAAATGCACTTGATGCCCCAAGTGGTTAAAGGAAAGGTAAAGTGGGGGTTACAGTTAAGTTTAAATGTCTTGTGAGATTTCTTATTTAAAGGCCTGTTATGATGGGCTTTGGTTTGCCTCAGAACTGCTTCTCTCCTCACATCAGTTCATGTGAAAAAAAAAAACAAAAAAAAAAAAAACGTGTTTCTGAACATATATAATACATATGCATCGAAATATTATGCAAAGCCTGTGTTACCTGTGCTAGGTTGAGCTTTGTCTTCTAAATAAAACTTATATCCCCCTGGAGCTTCTGTCTCAAACACTCCAGGAGTCACTTCAGAGAGTGGCCAGTTTAGTTGTTTTGCATTGGCCACAGCCTGGCTAGACTGTAGAGTAAGCCCCTGTTGATGCACAGAATAGTAATACAAACGTCAAAATGTACATTTAGCACATAAAGATAGCACATAGTAAAAACATACACTTCTCTCACATTCTATATTATGAGAAAAAAAACATTTGTGGCTATTGTTGTCTTGGAATAGGAAAACTTAAAGAGCAGCTCCATTTTTGTTGGCAAAAAAAAAAAAAAATTCCCCTCAGGGTAATCAATGTACATTGCAGGGATTGTAACAAACTTTGTTCCTGCCTTTTGTTATTCAGAAGAAATGGTTTGGCTGTGTCCATGTGCAGAGTGAATCTGTGTGGGAATGGTTTAAGAATTACCAATCAGCTGCTGTACCTGCGGGGCTCTTCAGTTACAATATGGATTTGAGTCGCAATTGTATGCGTATTATTTTATTTTTTGTTTGATAATTTTTGCTGGAGGGTTCTATTGTTGCCAGGTGGGTCTATTTTTCCTGGGAGGATCTATTGTTGCCAGGGGGTCTATTGCTGCTGGCTGCAAGGAATCTATTTTACTGCTTTTCTTGTTATCATTAACAAGCTCCAAATTACTTAGCACAACAATATGATATGGTTCCATATTCAATAAAAAGGGGCAGTACTGGGAGGTGGAACCAAGGGACGGTGCTCGGAGGTTGGTAGGGGGCAGAGACAGGGGTGACTCAGAAAGGGGAAGTTCCTGCACCTATTCTCTGAGAAAAAAATCTCTGCTAAGAACTACATATCACCTTCCTACCTGCAAGCCATATGTTGTGCTGTGTTCTCTACTGTTTATGATTCCGGAATCTAATTCTCTCAGCACTTTTGTTTACAAGGCAGGCTCTGTGAAAGGTGTAACAAAGCAAGTGCCTACTTACAGGGCATAGTGAATATGTATTACAGATTTCAAGGAAGTAAATGTGTGGGATTCTTAAAACAGAAGTGTGGAAATACGGAGAAAATTTTAAAAAAAAGTCACTCGCCTAGATGGCTGCAGCACTGACACCAACTGCAGCTGTCCCTCGCCAGCGCTACCCTAAGAACTGAACAACTAAACAATGCTGATCACTCAGTTCTCCCCCTCCACTTTGAGCAGAGAGTAGTGACTGCAAGTCACTGGCTCTCTGCTCTGCCCCTCCAGCGCTCACTGTAGGGTTGGGCTGTGGAGGGGGCGGGAGGGGCTGGCACAGGCTCTCAACATGCTGCCGGTCCAGGCATCTGGGTGAATCCTGACAGTAAAGTTAGGATCTTTTCTGAGCCTGGACCAGCTGAGCTGAGCCTGGACCAGCTGAGCATCAGTCGTCTTTAGCCTGCTGTTGGCTGAAAATGGGTAACAGGAGTGCAGAACAAAACTTTGGCTATACTTCTCATTTAAGAAAGGTAAGGTTACAGCCTTCATAATTGTTCAGATGAATATGATTAGGGTAGAAATATTGAAATTCAATGTGTAAATGAAATATGACTATACTTTGACCACAGATAACGAAAAAAAAAACCCCAACCATCCAGAGTTATTTTTCCATTATAAAAAGAACTAGAGGAATGAAACAACACATATCATACCAAGAAGTCATTTCCAAGACAATACTCCCCAATTCCATAGTTGTAAGTCAGTTCAACAACAAAGTGGTTGTCCTCAGAACCATATCCGATCATAGTTTTGCTCCATTTGCCATCATATGGGCTGGAAAAGACATACGTTTCAAATCACTCTTGGCTGCATTGCAGAATGCCTTCAAATATTATTTGTATCTAAAAGCCCAAACATAACTCAAGTCTAACTATAGAAAGCTACTGCAAATACTATCAGTTAATCACTGTTGACTTCTACTTTATAACATGCTAGTTACCTGGCTGTTATATCTTGTTGTAATACATTAATTCACTGACCCAAATAAAGTATGTAGATAAGGACCTATGACTTTTCTGAGACTTTCCCAATCTGCAACTAGTTGTGTCAGCACGGTGGAAAAAAAAAAACAAAAAACACGATTTTTAACCACCTCAATACAGGGCACTTTTTCCCCAATCCTGTCCAGACCAATGTAGGCCATAGATGGGTCGAAAATTGGCCGATTTTCACGGCAATGATGGGCAAATTGAGGAAAAGGAGAAAGAAGAAGAATTCCAGTCCGCTATTATATTTGACATGAAAAAGTATTGCGGTATATCCGGGAAAAAAAAAACAAATCTGTATCCGAAATGGATACAATGTTGCAACCGCAATACTTTTTAATGTCAAATATAATAGCGGGGCTCTCTGCAGGGACAGAAGTAATTAAATGCCAGCCGTAGACGGGAAGAAAATCAGCCAATTTTTTTACTGTTGGTGGTAATGTCGGCCTATTGAACGACCGATTTTTCGTTCGGTTTTTAAAAAAAAAAAAAAAACAGCCGGTTTTCTCCCCGTCTATGGCCTGCACAACTTTCAGAGCTCTCACACTTAAAATGATAATTAGTCATGCAACACTATACCCAAATGAAATTTTTGTCCTCCTCTCCCCCCCCTCCACATACACACAAATTGTGCTTTCTTTTGGTGGTATTTAATTAGCACTTGTTTTTTATTTTTTGCACTATAAAATTAAAAATATACCAAAAAGTTTGGAAAAAAAAAACAAAAAAGACTCTTTGTTTCGGTTATAACATTTTGCAAATTAGCAATTTTTCTTCATAAATTTGAGCCAAAATGTATACTGCTACATTGCTTTGTAAAAAAAAAAAAAAAAAAAAAAAAAAAAAAAAAAAAAAAAAAAAAATCACAATCTGTGTGTATTATTTGGTCTGTTTGAATGTTAAGAGTCTACAAGCTATGGTACCAATCACTGAAAATTGAACACACCTGATGTACTCTCTCATTTCTTGAGACATTAACAAGCCAGGACAGTACAAATATCCCCCAAATGACCCCTTTTTGGAAAGTAGACCTTTCAAGGTATTTAGTAAGCTGCATGGCGAGTTTTTTGAACTTGTAATATTTTTTGCACAATTCTTTGGATTCTTTTTTTTTCCCCCCACACAACTGTTATATTAACAAGTTATTCTGCTCACATGGTATATGCATACTTGCAGCTTCACCCCAAAGCACATTCTGCTGCTCCTCCTGAGTATGAGGATACCACATGTGTAGGACTTTTCCACAGCCTGGCCACATGCAGAGGCCCAAAATCCAATTAGTACCTACAGGCGTTCTGGAGGCATAAATGACACCTCATTTCCTGACTACCCATCACATTTTTAAAGACCCTGAAGAACCAGGACAATGGAATTACCCACAAAATGACCCCATTTTTGGATGGCAAACACCCCAATGTATATTCTGCCAGGCATAATGAGTCTTTTGAACGTCATTTTTTTCCACAAGTTGTCAGAAAATGTGGAAAGAAAATGAAAATGTATTTATTTTTTTTTACAAAGTTGTCCATTTATAAGATATTTCTAACACATAGCATGTACATACCCAAAATTACACCCCAAAATACAATACTGCTATATTCTGGGAGTGCTGCACTGCTTGTACTCGCCACTGCGCTACTGGTAGATGCCTGCTCCTCCTCAGATCTCCTGAACCTCTTTGTTTGGACTCTCTCCTCCTGAGAATCTGTTGCTGACCCACTGCTTTCAACTGGCTCATACTCAGAATTTGACAGAGTTCCATGCTACTCTTGTCCATCATACTCCGTATCTGGAAAGTCGCCTTGCTGGTGTATAATTTAGACAGGTTTATCCTGCACTGCTGATATTGATTTTAGATGTTCACTGGTACAGATGTGGATTTCACACTGATACTCCGTGACAGATATTGATCACTGATACAGGTGTGGATTTTACTCTGGTACACTTGACAGATGTTTTCACTGGTACTGATGTGGATTTTACACTAGTACTGTGTGAGAGATATTGAGCACTGGTAAACTGAGATGTGGATTTGTGGAGGCTTGACAGATGTGGATCACTGGGTGAATTTTACGCTGGTACTCCATGACAGATGTGGATCACTGGTACAGACGTGAATTTTACGCTGGTACGCCATGAAAGATTTGGATCACTGGTACAGATGTGGAAATTATGCTGGTACTGTGTGACAAATGTGGATCACTGGTGCACCGACAGCTGTGCGGGGGACTCTATGGGGTTATGTGTGTTTTACACAGATCGGCTCTGTTTCTCCTCACTAACGGGCTCTGTGTGAGGAGAGGCAGAGCCGATCAGACTGGCGACTTTGTTGATGTCACATGATGGCTGTGATTGGACACAGCCATTATGTGATCAGAAGGGCCAATCAGAGAGCCCTTCTGGCATGCAGGGGACACAAGCACACCGAGAGCGTGCAGGTGCGTGGCCATGTTCTTAGGAACGTTCACTCAGAACGGAGAAGCTCCCATCTGGCAGTTTATGTACATTGGCCAGGTTGGAGCTGGTTTTACTTAAAAAAAAAAAAAAAAAAAAAATATATATATATATATATATATAAAATAAAATCAGATTTTTTAAATTTAAATCTGATTTTTTTTTATTTTTATCAAATCTATCTAAAGATACTTCTCTATTTAAGATACATTAATAATGTAGTTTATTCAGCATGAAATGCAGCTTAGTTATGTAGCATGAGGCTGTATATTCTGCAATATTTAGATTTTTGGTCAACTCAATCAATGAATCCAAGCTCTGCAAGCTGAGATAACATGCACTGCATTGATACATTCACACAATTTCTCAGTAACTATGAGAAAAAAAAAAATGAAATAAAGGAATTTGAGCAGTTCTCCAAATTTGTGTGATTAACCTATTAACCAGTTCTGATATCGCTGTTTTACTAACCTGACAGCTTATTATTCTAACAATGAAACCTTCATTTGGTTTGCAAATATTAAAGATTCAAACTACCAGCAAGAATGAGTCAGATTCCTTACATTTAAAGAGCACCTGACATTGTAGATCTATCATGGCAGCTCCCGTTAGCGGGCATCCACTCACCTGCTACCATGTCCCTCACCTTGTTGTGTCACTGCCGCAACACCAGCCATCCCATTAAAGTGAATGGTACTGTCGGAGAGTCAACAGCGGGTCAGAGGAGGCGCCACTGCGGGACAGAGATGACAGTTGCTCTTTAAAAATTATGATTTAAAATTGAGCCTTTTCACTAGTTATTTAAATAAACTTGATTTAAATCAAATCCACCCTGCCTGTCAGTGCCAGATAACATTTAAAGGAGGTCAACAATGGCTGTATTTTTCCCATGACAAGTGTGGGCAGAAGCACAGCAAACATGGCCTTTGACTACAAAAAGCAGAAAATCACAGCAACCAGATTCCTATTTGACGGAGTCTTGGCTGTTCATATTGTAGTAAAAAAATGTTGGTTCCTAAGACTTCAAACATGTATAGGAGTTCCCCCAATGAAGGTATCGGCATTTGAATGATGGCTTCTGTCCAAGGAGAATCAAAGTCTCCTGCAGTAACATGCAAAGGAGGATGGAAGTCACAAACATGCTGTAGTTTTTGTACAGCTCAGGATCTGTTAGGATTGCAGCTGTATTTTTCTTCTTTCAATCTAGTTACTATAAGTTACTGCACTTAGCCTACTATCACCACTCTATACATTACCTTACTAAATGAGTCTGATAATGTACCATATACTTTGAATTTAGTTTTAACTATTTTGCAGGATTCCCAATATAACTATTATACAAAGATCTTTCAAGTCATTTTCTGTGGTTCATCTTATCCTCTACATGTATGTATTAACGTGGGAGGGGGAGCAATTACAATGCTTTACCCATTACAAGTAGCTTTGCAACCTTCTTCAAATTCTTCATGCCTTAGAACCTGAAAAGAACAAAATTGATACATTTTAGTATTTTACATTTCAACAGATTCACAAGTTGCAAAATTGTCTAAAAGTCTAGCTCATAAAGCAGCCTGTTTCATCTCCCTCAATTTTTACATAACACCTCATACAGCTTCATATTTCAGGCAATGGAGTGGAAGGACATATTTTATTTTGGCACCACTGTGTTCACTGTAAACCGATGCCAATACATTTGTCATATGGCATTTGTGTTGATATTCTTGCTGTCCAAGAATAAATGTTGCTTGAGTTTCACAGCTATGGTCAGGTTTGAGGTTAAGAAAAACCCAGGTTTGGTAAAATAAAAATTATATACTGGGTGCCATTAATAAAGCGGTATCTACCACTTTAAGAAATGCGGTAAAATACCATTTAGTGATTTTCAAAAAAAAAAAAAAACAGTTTCTATTCACTAAAAAGCGCTACTAAATGAATGGCTCTCGTGCCTGTGCAAATTGTGGCCCGTATGACCGCACAGATGTGAACCAGGGCTTAGTGAATGGAGCCCACTATGTATAATTCCTACAAGCCATTTTATAATGTGAATTGGATCTCTAGCCAACATTTCTTTTTTATTTTGGATAGTATAGGAAAGGGTTACAACCTCTGATATTGTAGGATTTTTTTTATTTGCGGTCTATGTCCCATTTATAGAGATTCACCTTTACAATCTTTCTTGATGACCAATGTCTGCATGACAGACACTGAAGCCAATATTCTGTAATATACTCATATTTATAAAGAATAGACTCATTTATTACAGCATCAACAAAATATGCAGTGTGTCAAAATACATTACAATAGAATGACAAGTTATGTAATGTACGAGGGGCAATCAAGTGAAAATCAGGGCTTGAAGTTTATAATAAAAATTCATACTTTTTTTTTCTTTTTACATACTCATGTGCTACTTTTATACACTTAAACCAGCAATAAATAATGCCTGGAAAGCTTCAGCATAGAAAGATCTGACAGTGTGAATCATTCTAGGACAGCCTGCTTCACTTTGTTATCACTGTGTTCACAGTGCCCACAGAGAGATTCGTCTCTTGTGCAATTTCACAACAGGTTATGCTGTGATTATCCGGGATCAGGTGTTCCAAGTGCTGAATGTTCACAGGAATGACTGCTGTGGCCTGGGAACCACCACGGCCGGGATCGTCACTGATGGACATATGGCCATCTTTGAAACGTTTACACCATTCAAAATGTCTTAGCAGGTTTTACGCCTTCCTTTACAAGAAACTTAATCACCACATGCTGTTCCATGCATACACTAATACTGTTGTCTGCCATCTTGATAAACGGTCTCTGGACTGGACCGCAACATGTGCACCGCCTATCAGTATCAGGACACACTTTCCACTTACCACTGCGAGTAGTACCTCCACGTTAGCATCCCTTTTTACACCTGTAAAATTAAAAAGTCCCGGTTTGACTTGAACTCCCCTCGTATATATGAGTGTCAGTTAGGGGTTATACTCATTCTGCTGACCACTGTCTCTTGGACAGTGAGTGAGGAGAGATCCAACAATTTTACAGTTATAACTAGATCAGGAGAAAGGGGAAAATCATCTGATAAGAGACAACTGTTCTGCTGACAGCTGAGTGGGAATTTGCTATCACTTCCTGTTGTGCCTTTACAGCATTAGATGAGGGGAAATTGTCCCATTGGGACACTTCCCATTGTCTCCAATACATTAATATGATCTACAGATCTGCATCAAGTCACTCAAAAAGTAGGTCAATTCTTTTTATTGCCAATGAATCTATACACTGTATGTATAAAATGGAGCCTGCGCAGTGGACTATATTTAATGAGTAACAAGTTTAAAATGCAAACAAATGTGTGAATACAACATATAAATAAATGCTGCGCTGCCACTAATGAATTACAAAAGTGCCACAATCGTGATAGTGGCCCACAATTAAATAAATGTGACCTGTGTATGACATGAACATAAAAATAAAAAAATTAATAAAAAAAAAAAAAAAAAAAAAAAAAAAAAAAAAAAAAAAAAAAAAAAAAATCGGTAGTCTTAAAGTGTACCGACCCCTCCGTGTGTCCCTATGAAAGGGGAAATTATAACATTCCTATATTCCATGCGTGCTTAAACCAACTCTTTAAAGCTGTGTTAATTTTATTGAGATGGTGCATCAAACATGAAGAACAATACTCCCAAATTGAACCAATATCAATCAAAACATAATGATAATAAACATAAATCCAGTGCAACTGTTATAAGTATTAGAGTCCCCGTGCACCACTACATCCAAATATTTAAAGTCCCAATGTGAAACACTTCCTCCATCCACACGTGAAACAAAGTGATTCGGTGATCAATCTTCTTATCCGTAAAAGTTGAATGCTCCACTTAGTGCTCCCCCTCCAGAGCCCCACTTATCCCAAAGATGTTGACCACCTTCATAGGTTACATAGTTAGTCTGGCTGAAAGAGACAAAAATGTCCATCCAGCTCAACCAAAAAAAAATTAAAAAATATATATATATATATATATATATATATATATATATATAAAAATTCTATACCCACAGTTGATCCAGAGGAAGGCAAAAAAAAAAAAAAACCCAGCAAAGCATGATCCCATTTGCTCCTGCAGGGAAATAAAAAGATTTCCTGATCCTCCGAGAGGCAATCGGATCAACTTTATCTATAAATGTTAGTATCCAGTTATATTCTGTGTATGCAAGAAACAATCCAGGCCTTTTTTAAAGCCGTCCACTGAGCTGGCCAGAACCAACTCTTGAGGGAGTCTATTGTTATTTTCACAGCTTTCACTGTGAAGAAACCTTTCCGTGTTTGGAGATTAAATTTCTTTTCTTCCAGATGCATAGAGTGCCCCCTTGTCCTCTGTGATGACCTCAGGGTAAATAACTCTACACAGAGTTCACTATATGAACCACTGATGTATTTATACAGGTTGTTCATATCCCCCTTTAATCTCCTCTTCTCAAGAGAGAATAAATTCAGTTCCTCTAATCGTTCCTCATAGCTGAGCTCCTCCATGCCTCTTATCAGTTTGGTTGCCCTTCTCTGTACTTTCTCCAGTTCCCCAATGTTCTTTTTGTGAATTGGTGCCAAAAACTGAACTGCATATTCCAGATGAGGTGTTACTAATGATTTGTACAGGGGTAAAATGATCTCTCTCTCTCTGGAGTCTATACCTCTTTTAATACAAGAGAGGATTTTGCTCGCTTTAGAAAATGCAGCTTGGCATTGCATGCCATTATTAAGCTTGTGATCTACCAGAACTCCTAGATCCTTCTCCACCATTGATTCCCCCAGTTGTACCCCCCCCCCCCCCCCCCCCCAGGATGTATGATGCATACATATTCTTAGCCCCCAAGTGCATAACCTTACATTTATCAACATTAAACCTCATTTGCCACATAGTTGCCCAATTAAACAGTGCATTGAGGTTGGCTTGTAAGTTGGAGACATCCTGTAAGGACGTTATTCCACTGCACAGCTTGGTGTCATCTGCAAATGAAATGGTATTTTTAATCCCAGACCCTATATCGTTTTATACATATATTAACCTCCCTGGCGGTATTCGAGTGTAGCTCAGGGTTAATTATCAGTGCCAAAAGCGGTAACCCCGAGCTACACTCCTATGCACAACGTTGCTCTAGGATCCCTCGATCACTTACCTTGTCCTTCGCTCCCGCAATGTCCCTCTTGCAATTTGGCCATGTCCTCCAGCTGATGCCGGCATCCGTCTTCCGGTCCCTGTGAGCGTCAAGACATACAGGGGCCAGAACCAGTGGGAAATTACTGTATCAAAGCATTTCACATACATTTTGTCCCTACTGCTTTGTCCTGTGCCCTGCCTGCATTTTTACTGTTCTTTCTGCCTGGAAACTAGAAAACATCCATGGCGTCCAAAAAGCGTCCCATTATGTCAAAAGCGGTTTTTAGACCAGCTAGAATACAGCGATAGTAAATCAGAACCACTTGCAGAATTGAGTGATGATTTGTGGGGAAATTCGTCAGACACTGAAAACGATTTTGCTGCTAAGCTCAGTGATGTGTGAACTTGGCGCTATATTTCAAATTTCAGTGTTTTTGGTTTGACTATATTATTGAATTAAATTAGTATATTAGTATTTTTTTTTTATGATTTCGGGTTTCAAATTTTATCATACCCGGGATGTTTACTAGACTCTTGTTTGGTCAGATTTCAGCGAGTTATTCCTAAAAATTACAGGCCTACAGTAAAAAAAAAAAACAAACAAATTTCCATGCAAAAGAATGTACCGCTTTCAGCACAGCAATATGGACATAATCAGACCGCTAGAGAGGTTAAAGAGTAAGGGTCCCAACACTGAACCACTGACAACCCTAGACCAGAGTATAAATCATTAACCACAACTCTTTGAATACAATATTTTAGCCAGTTTTCCATCCATTTACATACGGATTTTTCCAAGCCCATAGACTCTACCTTACATATTAGCTGTGTGTGGAGAACTGTGTCAAACGCTTTACAAAATCCAAACATACCACGTCCACATCCACCCCTCTTTGCTCATCCCCTCATAAAAAGAAATCAGATTTGTTTGACAACTTCTGTCTTTCATGAATCCATGCTGTCTGTTGCGTAAAATATTTTTTTCCTGCAAGAACTCATCTATGTTGTCTTTTATTAAACTCTCCAGTATCTTCACAACTATAGAAGTTAAACTAACAGGTCTATAATTACTTGGTAAAGATTTTGACCCCTTTTTAAATATTGGCACCACATTGGCCTTATGCCAATCCAGTGGTACTATGCCAGTCATTAAAGAGTCCCTAAAAATTAGAAACAATGGCTTTGAAATAACAGAGCTCAATTCTTCAAGGACCCGTGGGTGTATGCCATCCGGTCCAGGTGCTTTATTCACCTTTATTCCGTCTACATTTTTTTAGACCATATCAATAGTGAGCCAATGTGGATCATCTGGAGTGGTGTCAATA